TGGTTAAGAGCTTGGCTGCTAACCAAAAGGTCAGCAGTTCAAATCCACCAGCTGCTCCTTGGAAACCCTATGGGGCAGTTCTACTCTGTCCTATAGGGTCCCTATGAGTCGGAACCGACTCGGTGGCACCTAACAACAACAATTCATCATAACAACAGTTTAAAAGCTTCTTTTCTCTCCCTTTACAGAACTGAAACCCCTCCCAAGATGCCTTATGCTGTTACTCGAGCAATTCTGCCTGATTTGACAGCAGGAAGGGACACACTCCCTACGAGGCTGGCCTTGGGGGACTGCAGGATAAGAGACAGGTCAACCATCACATCCTGACGCTCAGACAGCAGCAGAGAAAGGACATCCAGGTACACTGTCCTTATCGCAGACAGAAAGGTGAGCCTGGGTACAAACTGTTAGGGCTATTTCCTGTCAGGCTACGGGACTAACTGCGGGTGCTGAGTAACTGAGCCCCAATCTAAATTGCCTAACTGTGCTGTCCTCTGAGAGCTGAAGAGAGGATCCCCCATTCAACCTGAGTGAATGAAAACACTGTTCCGTTCAAGTTTCTGCCTTGTCTTGGGAGAGGCTGAAACGTGAACCATGAGGCAGGATCATCTCCACCTACGCTTAGTCCATAATGAACTTGAAGATGTACAAAAAGGCTTCTTCTAACTCTATATCCATTACATCACTTAAAGCACATACAAAAAAAGCAAATTAAGTTGGTCATTTGGGTAATCAAAGGGCCATAGTTACGTAAAGCCTTAAAAGTCTGGGAGAGCTGGCTGCCTCTCAGCTGTGATTTACTTGGACTGTTTGACCACAACTCTCAAGTCTTTGGAGCCCTGACATCTCATCTGTTGAAAAATTACTTTTCAATAAAGGCTCTTTCATTTCCAGAACCTAGAACAAGGGCCAGGAAAAAAATGACTACTGCCTGGGCTGGGTATTGAGAATCCGGAGGGTTAACCAGGAGTCTGATCTCCCGGTGGGAAGTGAAAAGTGGGAGAGAAGGGGATACAGAAAGGGAGTGCTGACCCTGTGTTCACTGCCCTTTGCCCTTTGCCCTGGGGAAATATTAAGAGCATTCACAGACTGGCAGTGCTTAAACTCCGGTTCTGTACAAAATAAAATGGGCAGCTTCTCCTACAACTCCCAATGCCCTTGGGTCGACTCCGACTCACAGCGACCCTACAGGACAGAGCAGAACTGCCCCACGGGGTTTCCAAGGAGTGGCTGGTGGATTCAAACTGCCGACCTTTTGGTTAGCAGCTAAGCTCTTAACCACTGAGCCACCAAGGCTCCTAGAAGTAGATGAATGAAATTTCCTCGTCTGGCTGTTAGTTTTTCATTATTTATAGATACACACACACGCAATTTAAGGGGAGATGGTCAGTGTATGCAGAAAACTGCAGAGGCCAAAGACTCCGGCCTCCTAAATAAGCAACTCTAGACCTGGCCTGGAGCTCAAGCAGCAGGAAGTTGATTTGCTGGGGCTGAGGAGCCCAGGGCAGGGGCAGACCCCAAGGCAGTCTGTCCATTCCAACAGGGTGGCTGGAGTAGAAAAGGTCATACTGTTTCCTTCCCACCTGTGACTCTTCCAGGAGAGACGAGAACTAAAACAGAGTTCACGCCTGGGACAGCGGCACTGGGGTGGGGAGGGCCACAGACACGACAGTCACGTGGCTTTCTGTGAAGCTGGGTGGCTGCTGCCTCTCGGCCCCATCCAATCGTCAGACGAGCATAGGTTATGCTTCCATTCAGCAGGCTGCCCCTACTGTGTTCCACCCTTTCAACATTACGCTAGCAGCTCACAAAGCACCCAAGCAAGTGTAATGGAACCACTGTGGTCATCGAAGGAATCCTCCCACTACACTTTAATATAAAAAGTGGTTCAGGGGAAAAAAAAAGGAAAAAAAAGGATAGCATTATTTGGCAGGAATCCACACTCTGCAAAACTCATTCTGTCCCTCTCCAGAAAGAGAAAGGCTCTGGTCATCACAATTAGGATTCCTGTGGAAGCTCTGCTAGGCTTAGTCAGATCAGTGCCAGGAATTCTGTGAACCTGGGGTCAAGCTGCCAAGATTCAAGAGAAATGTCATTGGTAATTGTTTGCACAGGCACCAGAGTGGGAGGGCTAGCAACCGCGAGCACACAACTCCAGCCATGGTGCAGACAAGGAAACCAAATTTCCAATGCCCCCCTCTCCCCACGAAATTTAACAAAAAAGAAAAAGAGCTCTTACCTAGCTCTCCCCGGAGGTTAACAAGTTCTTGAGATAAGGTTTTGTGTTGTTTCAGCGCTTCCTCCCGCTGCGGAAAACACACATCAAGTTACTCACGTTTGCAAGAGGGTCCCTTTCAGTAAGGCACACGTTTGTCAACACTAGGAAAACGAGACCCAGAATCCAGAAGCCAAGATATGAATCACTTAGGCTAACAGTCTGTGTTGTTACAAAACACAGATGTCCCTTCAGCTGTTAAGGAAATTAGTGTTTCAAAAATCTACATTTTCTCAGGTCCTGGTGAAACTTTCATTGGAGGCGCTGAATGGCCCATTTCAAAATGTTTACTTTGAGTCAACAGTTCATCCCTGTCCCATAAAACCTTTCAGCTGAAGCACAC